CCACGCTGCAGCGCAGGGACTCGCTGAGATCCAGTTAGAGGGCTCTGGAGGTGAGATTTGTAGGGGCAAAGAGCAACCAAATTCCATCTACACAGGCAGAAACGTTTCTGAGAGACTTGAAAATCGGCCTCGGTGTAGATACGCTGACCACGATGGACTACAACATTATGGTCCATAATAGTTTGGTGGGTTTGGGCGTAGGTTTTGGCAAGGTTCGTAATGGTTTGGGCAAAGTTTGGTTCAAAACAGAATCCAGACAAAGCCCAACAGTGGCACTTGTGGCTTCTAAAGACGAGACCCTTCTTCACATGTTGTGGCCAAGAGTTCCATTGCTGGTGCAGAGCGAGGTGTCGGACGGCTGCTGTGGTGCATCCCAGTGCTCCTCTCCCTCAGCAGGCAAACACAGCCCACTGGCATGCTCGTGCTGGATGGTTCCTGGCCTGTGAGAGCCATGGGTGGCTGTGCTGCCTGTTCACAGATCTCTCACCCGTGGCTGGGTGGCTGTGGTGCCACTGCAGTGAGCTCTGGCAGGCTGTGTGACAGGACAGGGTCACTTTGCTGGACAGGTCTGGCAGCACCACATGGTTTGCCCCCTCCTGCCCTTTTTGAGAGCCTCCTGCTCTCGTGTGGGAGTGTGGGGCTGAGATCGCCCTAGATGTGCTGTAGGGGCTGCTGACAGCCATCTTCAGCTGCTGCGATGAGATGACCATGCTCTGTGCTTCCTTCAGACTCTTCTTCAGAGTTTGGCTGAGGGGAAGTGGGAGGATCTTTCCCCCGTGTCCCCCTTGCCCACTGGCCTTTGGCAGAGGGACAACAGACCAGCTGTGAGCTGTCACCAAGCCCTGAAGCTCCCTTGTGGTGAGCACTGGGTTGTGGCAGCCCGCCTCTTGCCCCATCCCCAAAATGGGGGTGCTGGGAGGTTGGTGTGGTGGAGACAAGTTCCATGCTGCGGCGCTGGGAGGTCAGGGGAGAACTGTGCGTGAAGGGCGCTGGAGCCTCCTTCCAAAGCAAACAACTCAAGGAAATGCAAACTGCCAGCCCTCGTCCTCCGGGTGCTGTGGGGCACGGCTCTGCCTTTCCCTGAGCACTCTTGGGGTGAGGATGGCTCTTCCTCCTGTGCCCTGGCTTAGTTGTCCCCGTCGGTTTCATTGCTGCAAGCCATGGCTGACAAGAAGGTGTCTGCTGCTGGTTTCTTCCACCGCTGCTCACCCTTGAGTCACTTCCTTCCTGAGTTTGTACAATCGCGCAGCCCAGCTGCTGGCGCGGGGCGAAGGGAGCACAGCGACCCGCGGCGTGCCAGGGGCTGGGACCTGGGGCTGGCCCTGCAGAAGGCCAGTGGTGGTGGCCCCGTCCCACCTGCCTGTCCAGCCACGGCCTCCTGCAGCACGGGAACTGGATGCCGGGGGACCCTGTCTAGGATCCGGGGCTGAATGGCATCCGCAGTGGAGGAACATGTTATGAAAGTGTTTCTCAAGAGCTGATAAATGGTGTTCAACCCCCCTGATTTCAGAAAGCCCTGCCTTTGGCCCAACTTTTCAACCTATTTCCAAAGAGGGATGGGAGACTGTGTGTGTGTTGGCAGCAGGCGGTGGAAGGCAGTCCCTGGAGGTTGGCTGATCCCAGCAATCAGGCGCACAGGCATTTCAGTACTTGGTGCTTGCTATGATGTAAATTTTTTGGTTTATCTAGAAGCTTTCCCACCCTGTCCTACAGCACTGGGCATTTACTCCAGCAACTGAAGTTGAAATGCTATCTCTTTTTTGGATCTTGCTTTTCTGAGGCTGGCTTATCTCTGGAGAAAAGTGGGAGTGTCACCACTTCACAGGTGGGAAACTGAAGTCATGAGCCCCAGGCGATGCAGTGAGTTGCTGGTGGAGCCAGGATTAGAGCAGGAATTCCTGTCTCCCAGCTTCATGTCCTCCCTCTGAGAGCCCCTCCCTAGAGTAAGCAATCAGTCTGGAATGAGTAGGTGGCATGAACACCCTCGCCACAGCAGGAGGAGCCTCACACTGAGCCAGGCTTCTCCAGAGGTGATTAGTTGTGCAGAGGTCTTGAGGACAGGCCTGGGAGCCAAGAACTCTTGTGCCTGCATGGGGTAACCTGTGGCCTTAGATACTCCTGCCCCTGCCCTGATTCTCCCACCTTAAAGATGAGTTAATCGAGCTGTCCAGGTGAAAGGTCTTCATGTTCTTGATCAGGACTTTGTTCAGCAGCCAGAGTGGTTGGTCTGTCAACTTCCTCTGGCAGTCAAAGGCTCTAACGTTTTTGTTCTACCAGCCAGGAGACGGTGGTACTGCTTTGGTCTTGTTTTCCTTGCCTGGGCTTGCTCGTCTGAATGGACCAAGGGTGTCTCCTACTTTGGCAAGGTTAGGCAGGACTGCAGTTGGACGTCCTTGCTTCATAGCTCATGGTACTGGTGTTGTGTGCTCCGCAGGTGGTGGTGGAAACCGGAAAGGCAAGAGCAAGAAATGGCGCCAGATGCTGCAGTTCCCCCACATCAGCCTCTGTGAGGACCTCCGACAAACCCTCGGTGAGACGTGGCAGCTGGCAGGAGCTGAGCGGGGCCGGGGGGGGAGTGTGTGGGGCTGTTGTGCACCCAAAACCGAGTTGTGCAAGGGTCTGGAACATCTAACAAGGCATGTACTGGCCAAAACCTGGGCAGGATTGCTCGGGGTGCAGGAGAGCAACAGTAGGTAGGTAAGTCATAGCGGTTGATGCATCCACACACCTTGTAGACTGTGCCAGGCTTCCCTAGAGATACGCCACCTTCTCTGTGCAAACAGACCCGTTCGGCGCTGCAGAGTTTTGGGGCGTTGCTCTGGGGTGCCTTTGCAGAAATATCAAAGGTCCTGCTAACGTCCTCTGGACTCTCTGTCTGGGGTTCAACCCTCCTCTGCAGACATCGGCTTTGAATACTAAGGCAACAGCTTTTCTCGGGCAAAACTGGGTTCCTGCTGTGCGGTTCGGACGGGAAGTGTTCAGTTGGGCAGGGCTTGGCCTGTCATTTTAATACTGCACTTTGTACTCTTTGGTTTTAATGTTGTTTGTGCAGCAGGCTTGGTCCTGAGGTCGTCTACAGCTACCTGAAAGGAAATTGTAGCAAGGTGGGTGTCGGTCCGTTCTCCCACATGACAAGTGCTAGGACAAGAGGAAATAGCCTCAAGTTGCACCAGGGGAGGTTTAGGTTGGGTATTAGGACAGATTTCTTCACTGAAAGGATTGTCAAGCCCTGGCACAGGCTACCCAGGGCAGTGGTGGAATCTCCAGCCCTGGAGGTATTTAAAAACCATGTAGATGTGGTGGTGAGGGACGCGGTTTAGTTGTGGACTTGGCAGTGCTGGGTTAACAGTTGGACTTGATGATTTAAAGGTCCTTTCTAACCTAAATGATTCTATGATTCTATCATGTGAAATTGTTTTGGGGCACAAAGGGTGGGAAGGCTCTGCTTCCTGGGAAGAAGAAGCTTGTTTAAGTTGTTGCTCTGGATTCAGCTGCCAGCTGGAGAGTGGCACAGCACTCACCCTGTTTAAAAGCAGGTGTCATTGGGCTGAGGGGATTTGGGAGGTTTCTGCAGCTCCAGTCCCCTCTTCTACCCTGCCCAGTTTTTCCACGTCCTGGCAGCCCCAAAGAGAGTTCCCTTCGAGGGCACATGGCATTGTAGCACTTGGAATAACTCAACCTCTGTCAGCCACATGGTAACCTCCAAGCTCCCAGCAGCCTGGTTCTGCTGCTGTGCACGCCATGCACCACCACCACTTCCTGGAGCCAGTTTCACAGCCAAGTGTAGTCAGATGGGGACTCTACCCTTGGTTTTGCTGCAAACTGCCTCTCTGGAGCAAGTTCTGAGCACCAAACTCTGGTCTGTGCCTTGCAGCTCCCATCTTGTCTGTCCCAACCCCTGTGTGCTTCTCTGAGAGCTTTCCCTCAGGTTCTCTGCCTGCATCTGCCCTTCCTGTGGGTGTCATGATATGTTTTCCAGCACTGAACTTCACCTTTGTTGTGCTGCCCGTTTGCTGGTGGTGAGTGCTGGTGGACTGTCTGTCTCTGCTCTCCCAGTCTGGGACAGTGACCTTATGATGCTTTGAGAGGCAAGTCCCTCCCAGTAGCTGGTTGTCACCACCCATGCCCCGCTTCCCCTTGGGACACATGGGAGAAGTGCTTCTGGCCCAGGTGGTGGCCACCTCTTGTGGTTTCCCCATGGGAGAGATGACCCCATTCCTCTTGCTTGGGCCACTCTTTGGTTTTCTTTTCCCCTCACAACCCACTAGAAAGACATTTCTTTCCTGTTCCAAAGGCCTGGCAGGACTGTGGGCACGGTGGGCTGCTTGCCCACTGCAGAATTCAGCTTTGTGTGCCCTGACCACGGGGAGCAGCCCTATGTGAGCCAGGGCAGCGGCGAGGGCAGCCGAAACCTTCTGATCTCACCAGCAGCAAACCCTCGTCCTCCCCAGCTGAAGGGAACTCCTTCCCCTGCAGACACAAGGAAACTGGTGGGGCTGGCAGGGCGGCCTCCTCCCCGGCACAGCCCGGCCGTCTGTGCTCCAGCACCCTCAGGAAGCCCCAGCTTCCTCGAGAGAAACTGCTGTGGGGGCACAGGAGGACGGCAGCACTCCTGCACCCCGGGCAGCCGCAGCCCTCGGTGGCCGTGGCTCTTACAGAAATCTGTTCTGGCCTGTGGTCAGACAACGTCTTATGAGTAGAAGAGGTGGGGAGAAAGCAGAAAACTGTAAGTGCTCTGGATACTCAAAGGGGTTTGTGTCTGGTTTGCCAGACTTTAGAGAGGAGTAGGAGGAATCAGAAGGGAAGCCAAGCTCTGGAGGGCTGTAGAGGTTGATGTGCAAGCAAGTGGCTGTCCCGTGGAGTTGGGGGGCTCTAATTGCTGTGTGCTGCATTAACAGGACATCTGTGGAAGCAGTGCCTCCTATTTGGATGATGGTGCTTCTAGCAGGGCCTTCGGGAATATGAGTTGTTTGTAAGAGTCATTGGAGCAACTCTTGGCCTGGAGTATCTGGCTTGAAATAAGGTGTTGCTCATGTTCCAAGGAACGTTGTGCATCTGGAGTAGACAGTTGATCTCCATGGGGAGAGGGCTGAGAGGAGAGCCTCCAGGCGAACAGGAGACACGAAGGTGTCTTGCTAGAAGCAAGAGGGGCAGGCTGTACAGAACAGCAATCAAACCTCTTTCAGGGAAGATCTTCCAAAGGGCAACATAAAAATTCGGTCCTGCCTCTTGTCTCGGTTGGGTGCATTTCACTCTCCTGGGACTCTCAGGCTGGTTGGGACCTGCGAGCAGCCAGCAGAGGAGTCATAAGCCCCTGCACCACAGCCTGGGGCCAGGGCGGTGGGCCGTGGCTGCTCCCCTGGGGGCTGGCAATGAGTGATCTTCTCCACGTTTGCAGAGCGGGACTACCACAGCCTGTGTGAGAAGCAGCCGATCGGGCGCATGCTCTTTCGGCAGTTCTGCGAGACGCGGCCGGAGCTGTCACGCTGCGTCAGGTTCCTGGATGCCGTGGTAAGAGCAAGGCCCGGCCGGCTTCGCGGCGGGAGGCGGCATGTTCTTGGCACCCTGGACGTGGACCGGTTGGCCCTGGGTGCTCCGGCAGTTGCCAGGCACTTCTGGGCATGTAGGGTTTTCCTGAAGGAAAAACCTGTGAGTTGCTGTTTCTCCAAGACAGGGCTGGGCTTTCGCTTAGGGAGCTGTTTGCTGGAGATCTGGTTTTCCAGGAAAACATGGGAAAGCTTGGGCGGAGGGTGTTGGTGCTGTGCAGCTGTTGCCTGGTGGCAGGGCTCGGTTCCCGCTCCTCACGCCGCTTCTCTGCGCAGGCAGGGTACGAAGTGGCTCCCGACGAGAAGCGGAAGGAGTGCGGGCAGCACCTGATCGAAAAGTACCTGAAGACAAATGTGAGTAAGAGGGTTGTGCTCGCTGCCTGCAGCAGCTGGAAGGCTGACAGCTGTCATTACCTGTGTCCTGCCACAGCAAACCTGCTGGGCGGGACGGTGAGGGCAGAGTACAGAGCCACCCCACCACCTCACAAGAGACTTTTGCTGCTTTTCCCATCGACCCTAAAGCAGATGGGCACCTGAGTGCTGTTCCTGTGGGCTTCTGCTTCCTGGGATGAACCCTGGGCTCTGATCCCTATGTTTGACTCCATCCTTTGTCCCCAGAGTGAGGATCATGTGCCTGAAGTCCCCTCACAGCTGGTGGATGCCTGTTGTGAGAAGCTGGAGCAGGAACCTTCCAAGGAGCTCTTCAAGGAATCCACTAAGTAAGTTGGAGGGCTGGAGCCTGCCTTTGGGCCATACCATGTGTCTCAGTTAGAAGGCAGAATTGTGTTCCCCCTCCCTTATCCCTTAGTTTTCCCAGATAGAGAGATAAACAAAGGAAGGCAGGGGTAATAAAGGTCTTGCACCGACTGAAAGTTAACAAAAGTGAAATATATTATTTAACAGGGAACAGAAAGGAAGAAGAGTAGGGATTAACAGGTAAAGGGGTTGTAAGGGGTAACAAGGTAGGGAGGGGTAAACTTCCAAAAATACAAAACCAAAACACTGCATTGAGGCTCCATGGTACTGGATCTCGATGGATCTTGATGGATTGAAGCTGGATGGCCAGTCCTTAGATGTGGATGGAGGCAGGGAGTGAGTCTGTAGATCAGGCCCAGGTCCCAGAATGGCCCCCACCACATGCAGCACAGGGAACATCAAACAGCAACAGAGCAGCATCTCTGGCCGAAGGTCCCAGCAGAGAGAGAGGGGGGCAGTGCCTCCCTCCCCCCTTTATAGACCTTAGCAGGAAGTCCCGAAGACAGGAAGAGGGGAGTGGGAATAGGACAGGTCTCCACCTCTCTTCATTCAGGCTTGCTCCTGGTTTTAGATTTCAAATCTCCACCCCCCAGGACCCGCAGGTGTTTCAAACGCAGGAATTTCAAACCATCACATCACAGTACAGGGTAGATGATGCAGCTTATTCACCATGTCCCTCATGGTCCTCTCCTCCAGGAGAGCGTGGGCTGGTGCTAAGGCTGGTGCCTGGAGAGTTTTAGGCTAGAGGTTTGCAGCTCAGCCACCTGCAAGCAAGTGGAAGGAGCTCCCATGGGCTCTGGGAGCCACAAGCTGCTGCGGAAACCTCTGTCACTCATCAGTGTGCCACGGGTCTGAGTTGCCATTTAGGAGGACACCGTTTTAGCGAGCCTCAGCCTCTGGCCATTCTGTTCCAGGCTTGTGCCTGGATCTCGTGGGCAGATGCTGTAGCATAGAGCTGGCATCTGCAGTCCTAGTGCCAGCTGCCCTCTCTTGCTGGCCGCAGATGTGGCTGTTGTGGTTAGCTTATGCTGGCTGTTGCTGCAGGGATCTAAGGTCACTTCTGTTCCCAAGGCAGAGACAGTAGCTGAGGTCCTGGGTCTGGGTGCAAAGCAGAAGCTGTTAGGCCAACCAGGCTTATGGGCCCCTCCTCTCCCTGTGCGGTAGCGGGAGCACATTGCCTCACCAAGTGCAGGGCTGTGGCAATGGGTTTGCTGCCGTCTTCTGGGGAGCGTTAGCTCTGTGTGTGGTAACTAGTGTCACTGTCTGAATGCAAAGCCTCTGGGCTGGGCCCTGCCCACTCTTGGCAAGCTCTGAAAGGGGAAGAGCCCATCTGCTTCTCCTTGATGCATGTCTCCAGTCTAGACAGTATGTCTAAGGCTCTTTACTCTGCTGGGCAGCCCTGGCAGTGCTCTCCAAGGCAGTTAGCTCTCTCGAGCAGGATCCCCTGTGGCCTTTTGTGCTGGATATTCACCTGAAACTGAACAACTCGGTGCCTGGTGCTGAACATTGCTAACAGCTTTCGGCAGCTGATTACAGCCTTGGGCGTGCGTTTGCCGTGTGAGCAGCAGGGCAATTGCAGAGTCTCATCGTCCCCCTTTGTCCTGCAGCTCAGGCTGGTGCTGAGGCCACAGTTAGCGGTGCCAGCCCGGTCCCAGGGTGCTGCATTTGCCACAGTGGTACCTCCGACGCACCTCCCTTCTGCATCAGGCTTAGTGTGGAAGGGGCTTTCTGGGGTGATTCCTGCCCAAGCTGGGTGAGAGGATGGCAGGGGAGCCGGGCGGGCAGCTCACCCGCTCGTCCCTTGGGCCGGCAGCTTTTTCCATGGCTGCGATCAGCTCTCGGGAACCTTGGTGGCTCTGCTCTCTCCTAGGCTTATCCACGACTACCTGAGTGTGGCTCCCTTTGCTGACTACCTCGACAGCTTGTACTTCAACCGCTTCCTGCAGTGGAAATGGCTGGAACGGTAACGCTGCCCAGCGTCGCGGGGAGAGCCGCACCCTGCTCACACGGGCTGCCTGCAGGTGCCTGAGGGCACCCGCCCGTGCTCAGGCCTGGCAGGAGACAAGGGCCTGGCCTTTGTCTGCCCTTGCTGTCCTTCAGGACCCTTTTGTGGCACCATCAGCAGCCCCAGCCTTGCTTGCCTTGCAGGGAAGCAAGGTCTGCTTGAGCAGGGGTTTTGGGGTGTGCCATAGTCTCTCAGACCTGGGGGTGAAATTCAGTCCGTGCTTTTTCCCTGCTCCTATCTCACTCCAGTTTCCTTTCCCTCACAGGCAGCCAGTGACCAAAAACACCTTCCGCCAGTACCGTGTGCTGGGCAAGGGCGGTTTTGGGGAGGTGAGTGACCACTGTTTCCTCTGCATTTGGGGTACCAGGCAGCCACCATTGCCTGCTGCCAGATGCAGACCTGGGTTGGCCATCGGAGTGCAACAAGCTGCTCCAGCACCTGGAGGCAGGTGCTGCTGGCTGGAGGGGGGCTGTGGGAGCTCTGCACTGGGCACTGCTGTGCTCTGGGCATTGTGTCATCTGTCAGTTCCTCTCTGAGGGGCAGGAGCTCCTCTCTTACCAGGCACTGGAGGTGTTGTGCAGAGTAGGGAGCAGTGCCCTGTGGTGTGTCTGCTGCCTGGACAGAGAGATCTGTTCCTTAGGTCTTGGTTGGGGAAACTGCACTCCTGAAAACTGCCACTGTCAGGTTTCTTTCTGCTTCTGAAGCAGCTTTCTATCTTCCCAGGCATCAGCCATGGTGCTGCTACAGGCAGCAGAGCCATTGCATCCCTCTGCTGCTTATCTGTGACATCTGCAGATGTCACTTCTCCCTGTCCTTGCTTTAACAACAGGCTTCTTGATAACCTCAGAGTGAGGTGGCGACAGGGACGTCTTTGCCTTCCCATGCCTCTTCCCAAGAGCAGAACCTAGACTCCCACCATGGAAACGGCAGCAGGAGGGTGCTGAGCCTTGTTCCCCCTCCAGGTCTGTGCCTGCCAGGTGCGTGCCACGGGGAAGATGTACGCCTGCAAGAAGCTGGAGAAGAAGCGGATCAAGAAGCGGAAGGGGGAGGCCATGGCCCTGAATGAGAAACAGATCCTGGAAAAAGTGAACAGTAGGTTTGTAGTAAGTACATGGGAATTGCTCTCACTTTGCTGTGGTGGTTGATTCTTCCTCCAACCAGCCAGCCCCAGCACCTCTGTTCTCCTCACCTGCTGTCAAAAGACAGGAGCAGGCCCCAACCATGGGATAGCTTCCTGGCTATCCTGATCTCTCAACAAGGCTGGGGTCTGGAAGGACCTCCCAGTCTGCCTCCCTAAGATGTTGTAAATGCCCCCAAAGTCAGGCCCAAACATCCATCTGGTCTCACAGGCACCTTCTTAATCTCTGGAGCACAAGAAAGCAACAAGAACTGTCTCTCCAGACAGCCAAGTGGGCAGAAGCCTAGCCCCAAGCTGTGTGGTGGGGGACCTCTCTCCCTGGCTGCACTGAGGTGTGGACAGCCTGAAACCTCCATTTATGGAGGATTCATCAGACACTATCCCAGGGTTGCTGTTGGGTACTGCTTGCCCCAGAGAGAGGACCAGTTCTGGCTCAGGGAAATAGTATCCTCCCTGTCTGAGGAGAGATGGGGGTGTGCTGTGACTACTGAGCACTTCCATGTCCTCCCTGGGTTTGCATAGTTCCCCCTCTGCCTCCTCTGCTGGCAAAGGCCCAGTCCCTCTGCCTGTGAGTGGCTGCTTGGGTGTCAAAATGTCCATCAGTGTGCACCTCCCTCTTCCAGCTGTGTCTTCTAACAGCCTTTCTGCCCTGAATTGCAGGTGAGCTTAGCCTATGCATATGAAACTAAAGATGCTCTCTGCCTAGTGCTGACCCTCATGAATGGAGGGGACCTCAAGTTCCACATCTACCACATGGGAGAGGCTGGCTTCAAGGAGCCCCGGGCAGCGTTCTATGCTGCTGAGATCTGCTGTGGCCTCGAGAACTTGCACCAGGAGAGGATAGTGTACAGGTGCGTGCTGCCTGGTCCCTGCTGGGAAGCCTTGTATGGGCTGCAGAAGCAAGAGGGTTCCTGCTGCTCTTACTAGCCCAGATGGGTCTGTCTCCTCAAGAAAATAAGCTCAGAGCTACGTGAGAGGGGATCAAGAACAGAAAGCTGATCTTATGGGAGAGCTCAGCTTGGCTTCCTCATGCTGGTAAATTATCTGCCAATAACAGGATGTGACCAATGTGAATACCTCGGGGCAGGCACTCTGTGCTTGACTCCTGGGGCAGTATTGACAGGAGAACAAAGGAGGGTAGGCTGCCACGGTTCTGTGAGGCAGTGTTAGGGTTGGCATGGCTGGAAAGTCCCGTCTGGTCCTACCCTGCACGTTGCCCCAGGGCAGGGTAAGCAGAAGAAGCCTCTGCTCCTTCTCTCCTGCACAGCCTGCTCCCTGTTGAGCCCTGCACCTGCAAAGGAGGACTCAGCCACAGGCTCACTGCTTTCATATGGGGAATTGAAGGTTGTCATGACCTGCCTCTCTCTGCTTGGGATGAAGGAGCTGGCAGGGCTGATTCTGGGGCAAGGGGTGAGGGGAGGGTTATCTGTGTGTGCCCTCTGCCGCTCATCTGTGAGTTCTTGAGATGTCACTGTTCTTTGTGTCCTTTGCTTTGACAACAGGCTTCTTGCTAATCAAGTCCCTTCCTTCCTAGGGACCTGAAGCCAGAGAACATCTTGCTGGATGACCATGGTGAGTGCAGATCAGGAGGAGCCCTGGGCCTGGGTCCTTCTCTCTTCCTGTGCTTGAACCAGGGTTACTTTGTGTTCTTGGGACGTTGTCCCATGACATTGTCCTGTTAACTTGCTCTCTCCTCTGTGCAGGTCACATCCGTATCTCAGACCTGGGGCTAGCTGTGCACGTCCCAGAGGGCCAGACAATCAAGGGCCGAGTGGGGACAGTTGGCTACATGGGTAAGTGGTCCTAGTTTAATCAAAAAGTGGTCTCTGGCTGCACAGGTACTGTCCCTGCCCTCACACGGCCCTCACCTCCACTCCCATGTAGCTCCGGAGGTGGTGAAGAACGAGCGCTACACGTTCAGCCCGGACTGGTGGGCTCTGGGCTGCCTGGTGTACGAGATGATCGAGGGACAGTCGCCCTTCCAGCAGCGCAAGAAGAAGATCAGGCGGGAGGAGGTGGAGCGGTTGGTGAAGGAAGTGCAGGAGGAGTACTCGGAGAAGTTCTCGCCCTGCGCCCGCTCCCTCTGCACCATGGTACGGGCGTGCACCCCTGTCCCTCCGCTCCCACCCCCCCTTTGCATGCAGCAGGAGGACGTTGGGCCTGCTCCGCGGAGAGAGAGGTGCTAGTGGCAGCTGGGTTCCCTTGCTCTGGCTCTGATAAGACCGTGTGGGAGAGTCTGGAGTGCCTTAATTCCTTACCCTCCCAACTGCCTAGCAAGCCCGTGCTGTCCTTAGAGATACACTGCAAGAGCCCAGCCCACCCCAGGGCTGCTCCTCCCAAAACACCCTTCAGCCAGGGCACTGACTTCCTTTGGATTGCAGCTCCTGTGCAAAGATCCTCTGGAGCGCCTGGGGTGTCGAGGAGCTGGCGCCAAGGAGGTGAAGGAGCACCCTCTCTTCAAGCATCTCAACTTTAGGAGGCTGGAAGCAGGCATGCTGGACCCCCCCTTCAAGCCAGATGTAAGTGCTGGTCTGTGTCCTGACCACTGGTGCTGTCAAGGGAAGCAGGAGCCCTGGGGTGGCTTTTCTGAAGAGATGGCACCCATCCTCTTCTTCTTGTTTCCAGAGCCTGGCAGAAAAGGGGTCAAAGCAAGCTGTGGGCTGCAGGGAGAGGGGGGATTGGCCGTGACCCAGAGTTGTTTGAGGTGGTGGCATCTTAGTGGAGCTTGGCATTAGAGTAATCTTTGTGCTGTTTAGCCCCAGGCCATCTACTGCAAGGACGTTCTGGACATTGAGCAGTTCTCCACGGTGAAAGGGGTGGAGCTGGAGCCCACAGACAATGACTTCTACCAGAAGTTTGCTACAGGAAGTGTGCCCATTCCTTGGCAGAACGAGGTAGGTTTTCAGGACAAGGTTTGCTTCTGTGCCCACTGTGGCTGCATGCAGTGTCCCGCAGGGTTCATGCTGTCCCTGCTACTCCTGCGCTCGGCTGAACCATTGGTGACAGGCTTTGTGTGGCACTTGCTGCAGCCATCTTTGTCCTCTTCCAGATGATCGAGACGGAGTGTTTTAAGGAGCTGAATGTCTTTAGCACAGATGGCACAGTGCCCCCAGACCTGGACTGGAAAGGGCAGCCTTCTACACAGCCCAAAAAAGGATTACTCCAGCGCTTATTCAGCAGACAGGTAAGAGTATTTGCCCAGCATTTCATCCCCAGCAAGTCCTGTAGCAGCACTGACCCCACTCCTGCCTGTGCCAGGCAGATCTGCTGGGGAGGTGAGCACAAGGGAGAAGCAGGCAAAGTCAGCCCCTGGGCTGGGTGACCAGATCCCAGGGGTCTCGGGAGGACCCACATAAGGCTGCGGGGAGCCAACCCTCACCTGGCTGGTACTCCCCATGCTGGGGGAGTTGAGGAGGCTGGGTGGAGTGACCTGGCTAAACATGCTGCAGTCACACAAAGAGAGGAATGTTGTTAAAGGCACTAAAATAGCAAGTCTGCTCCCTTTCTACATGAATAATACCATCTCTGAAGAAGACTTTGCTCTTGGAATGCACTCCTGGGCTCCCTAGAGCATTTCTGCCAGACCTTAAACAGGGAGAGAGAGCAGTGCTTTCGAGGGATGAGGAGAACGGAAATGTCTTGCAGCTGCTATGGCCTTGCTTGCCTGCCTGTCTCCTCTGACCAGAACAGTCTGCTCCTTTCCAGGCCTGGCAAAGTCCGGGCAGCTGCCTCTCAGCAGCTGCTTGCAGCTGTGGGACTCAAGCATGGTTGGCTCTGGACCCACTCTCAGCCACCCAGTGCTGACTCCTGCTTCCCCAACGAGCTCCCAGTTGTGCTTCCCTGTTCGCTGGCCAGAGCCAGCTCTGGGCTGGGATTCCCAGCCCTTCCCGAGGCAGGCAGGACCTGCCGGAGGACGGGCAGCTGCCTGTAGCAGGGGTTGAGCTGTGATTTGCCACGTGTTTTCTCTTTCCAGAGGTGAGCAGTCTCTCCTGGCTGCTCTGCTCAGGGAAATACCCGGTGGCCCGCGGACGTGGCAAGATCTGAGAAAGAGGAGTGTTGTCCTTCAGTGCCTATCCCCTTCCCCCAGCAGAGCACAAGCTGCTTGTTGTTCTAACTGCCCCATGAGCCACTAATCTCGCTTCCCTGCTCTTGCTGCCTTCGTGGGGGAGGCCTTGCTCTCAGCTTGAGCCAAAGCTGCCCCTGCACCGCCACTGCTGGGAGCTCTGCTCCCAGGGGCCTGTGGGAAGTTTCCTTCACTCCTCTCTTTGGATGTCCAGGACACTCAGAAGGGTTAAGCAACTGTGAAGGGTTCAGCATTGCTCTGTGCTCAGACTCCTGTCATGGCAAAAAGGGCCTCGGCTGCTTCTGCGGCCAGCTGAGCCCTGCGTGGGGCAGGTCGTCTGTGCGAGCTGTAGTGGCTGTAGTCCACAGAGCCCATCTTCCTCCCAGCTTCTGAGCTAGTCAGCTGTGTCTCACCAGTCTGTCTGCCAGGAGCTGAACCCCTAGATGCAGCTTGACTGTTTCTCTGCTGACCGAGGGTCCCCTCCAGCCCCTTGCCTCCGTGTAGCTCCCACACACAGGCTGGGGGGGCCTGGCTCTTCCCTGCCAAAGTGCAGCTGTAGGCTGGGTTGTGTGACCATGCTCACCCTCTGCTTGCTGTGCTCCTCTCTCCCCCCTCCCTCTCCTTGCCCTTCTGACTTCAGGACTGTTGTGGAAACTGCAGCGACAGTGAGGAAGAGCCTACCCTGCTGTAGAGCACAGCTTGTTCTCCAGCCCTGGAGACCCCCTTGCCTCTCCGGGTGCCCAGCAGAACAACAGTCCAGCCTGAATGACAAAGTAACAGCGGCCTGGCAAGGTGGATTTGTTTACAGCTTCACACATTCATATTTGAAGACTGTGAGGATGGCTCCAGAGCTGGCAGCAGCACAGAGCTTGAGCCCAGGTGCTTCTGACCATGGGCAAGCCCTCGTCCTGGAGACAGACCTGGATGCTCCTGAACGTGCTGCCCAGGACTGGGCCGCTGCTGCCCGCCAGCTGCTGCTCCCCTCCCTGACCCAGGGCAAGAGGGAGGGATTGTGCCAGCCTGGGTCCAGGCCAGACTGGAGCAGCTCTGCTGACACATTCCACAGTGCCAAAGCAGCACTGCAGATTTGGTGTATATTTATATATGTTGGTCTGTACATATCACATGTTTTTTAATCTAGAGGTGGGGGCCTGCACTGTCCCCACCCTATCACAGGCACAAATGTCTTCCTATGGGGGAGCAACAGCCCCAGCTTTGTACCAGGGAGTCCTGGGCAGAGGCCTTCTATGCCTTGAAGTGCCTGAAGAATCTTTCCTGGACTTTTCTGTCTGCTGAGGCTCCAGCGGAGTCCGTTGGTCAGCCTCGAGGCACAGGAAACCATTGTGCCAAAGCATCTACCGTCGCACCCCGGCAGGAGCGTGTCACTGCCTCCTCCTCGCCTCCCTGTCTGCTGGAGTTGCTTCCTCCTGCCTCGTCTCACATGTGCCGCCAGCTCCAGGGAGCTGATCCCGGCCCCCTTCCCAGATCACTGTCAGGCTGCCTGCGGGGCGCAGCCACTCTCATGGCACCTGCTCAGAAGGTACCTGCTGCTGAGTCCAAGGCTTGGTCTGATTCGTGGAACGGTGCAGCGTCACCGCAGCAAGTTCCAGCAGCTCTGGACCCAGCCAGCTCTGTGTGCTGGGGGTGCTGCACTCCCCAGGCTCAGCTTGGTGCTGGAGGAGAAGATAGGAGGGACCCTGCTTTTGGGGAGCAAAGCCATGGCAAAGAGCATGTCCCCAGGGTTACACTGAGCTGCGGGGCCAGGCCCAGCCTGCCCACTGTACCAGCTTAGTTTGTGTCCCCGGGGGTCCTGAGAGCCAGCACAGCTCCTGCACCCGAGGGCAGGCCAGGCGTGGAGGGGCTGGACCCCTGCGTGTCCCTGGGGAGCAGCACAGGGCTCAGCCTACCCCTGCTCTGCTCTTCCTGTCTCCTCTTGTGCACACTGGTCCCAGCTGCGTCCCGAGCAATATCTCGTCTCTCGTGTGTGTGTGTGTGCACACGTGTGTGCGTGTGCTGCTGCCTCCTGCTTGTTCTGAGCCAGGCCCCCCGGGGGGGCTGAGCACCTACTTGGACCTGTGGTATCATTTGCTTGCCTTGCACTAAAGTGGGAGAGTATTTAAATTTTTAACCTTTTTCCTAAGATTCACTGCCTTGTGTTGCTGTTGTGTCAAGGGGTGCCCACCCCAGGCCTTACAGGGTTGGTGGCTGGCAGGAGGAGCAGGGACCCATTCCTAGGCTGTCACAGACTCTGCTGGTGCTTCTGTCCTGCAGGGAAGGGCTGGGGCTGAGCCCTGAGGACTGCACATAGTCCTCAGTGGCTTCTCCTGCCTGGTTTGGGTCAGCATGGGGACGTGATGGGTACGTGGTCTTGTGCCATTGCGGTGCTCGTATCTCCTGTGGTCCCCTTTGGGGCCTGCCTGCCCTCAGCACCCCTCTCGGTGTGCTCTGGGGCCAGGGGCCGAGCCCTGCTCCCCTCCAGATGCATTGCTGTCTGGGGAAACCGTGCAGAGGGGGACCTCGTGCCACCAGTGTGGTCCCTCCAGGGGGACAGCCTCTCACAAGGGGGATGCAGCACAAGCAGGGTTAGGGTCACGGTGGTCACCACGGGGGGTATGCAAAGGCAGGAGGAGCCTGGGCAGGGTGGGGGCAGGGTGGGTTTGGAGTCCGGGGCCGGCGGCAGCATGGTGCGCAGCGCGGGGGGGGCACACACAGCTGCACAGGGATGAGAATAGCAAGTGCGGCTGGGTAGCTAGGGAACAGTTGCCATGGGAGCGGCGAGGAGGAGTTCTCACACTCAGAGGGGGCATCTTGGGGTAAAATCCAGGAATTTTCTGCAGCCGTGGAATGAAGGCAGGCAGGGCGGGGGGATGGGGAC